GGGGCTGCCCGCAGGCTGCGCACAACAGCTGTGCTCTGGCCTCCTCCGGTGATTTCAAATGCCATCTGTGTGCGTAAACCTGGACGAAATATTAGCCAGGTGTGATGTATGTATGAGGTGTAATCATAGCCGCTGACGTGAAGGTAGTGACTATAAAATAAAGCCTCCCCAAGAGCCTTAACTCTTCCTTTTTTTTTATTGCTTTCAAAGGGATATGCGCTGGAATAAGGGAACTATTCTAAAAGCGTCAGTGGACTACATCCGTAAGCTGCAAAGAGAACAGCAACGCACAAAGGAGCTTGAGAACAGACAGAAGAAGTTGGAACATGCCAACAGGCACCTGCTGCTCAGAATACAGGTTTGCTGATAAATAAGCTGCGAATGCTCTTGATGTTGCAGTGTGTGACTGCAAATAACAGTAACTGAAGCTTCTTTGTAGGAATGTGGGTTAGAAGGAACCACCACTTTAATAAACGGTGACCAATGCGGAGATGTCTGCAGAGATTTTTACAGGGGAAAAAAACAGGATACATTAGTTTAAAAAAAACAAAAACCACAAACAAACTCCAGCACTCTAGTAAAGCACTTTAGGGATGGTGTTTTTTTGTTCTACTTTGGCCAACATAAGTTGCTAGCCTTACTATAAGAATGATATATATGGTAATACTTCTTTTTTGGGGGTGCCAGACCTAAGGGATTGGGACTTCATATGTGATTGATTTGTTGATAGTGATCAAATTCAGCTCAACTGTTTGGGAGTTTGTTCATGTTAGTTGTTTTGTTTATGGATTTTTTTTGACCTGTAGCTGTAGCGCTTGTTTTCTTCAGAAGCAGTTTCAGATGAAAAGCAATAAATAAAATCTTTTTGTTTTGCTTGTGAGTTTTCTAACTTGTGTGGGGACCAATTTAGGCCCTATTTGTCAGAGAAGCTCCACAGCTTACAGTCTCCTACATCTGATCTCTTACTACTTCTCTGTCAGCCTCTCCCTGATGCTCTGTAGGACTCTGTCATCTGCTTTCTGGTGGAGGGTAAACACTGCTTGCAGGACAAAATATGTGGAGAGGGCAGTATTGGTGACAGACACTGCAGCACCGTATCTTGAGTTCGCCATAGGTATCTTGGGGAGTGGCAGCTGTATTTAATGTTGAGGCTGCCCTGGTTTGTCTGAGAGCAGTTGCAGAGAAGCACACCTCATGCGTGTGCTCCAGGAGTGTTTGCAGCAACACAGCTAAGAGCTACGGATGTTGAGCTGCTTTTTTTTGTCCGAGGAGCTATGGTTGGTTGTCCTCCTTGTTCCTTGAAGTCTGTTGGACAGTGAAACAGTTCTCCTCAACACTGAAAAGCAGCAGGTGGCATGAATATGTTTTCTGCATGGAAGGGCTGCCTTGTTAGATTCACCCAGCTTCCCAGTAGCCTGTATTACACAGAGGTTTAGGGGTGAGAACTCTGTTTCTCTAACTAATTTCGTTGCCTTCACCTCAAGCTGGATATGAAACCTTAGCCTTGCAGCCTACACAGCCGTTGTTGTCAGCTCTGTTCTCCAGGTGGGCAAAGATAGCAGATACCCACCCCTCTCCAGAAAAGGGTGATTAAAGAAGTATATCTAGAGTTGGGTATAAGAACACGTAACACGGAGACAGTGATGTTCCAGATGTTCTCATGCCGCTGTTCCCCTGCAGTGCGAACAGCTGAACTCCGCATGCAGGCTGCAGTGTGCCAGACTGGCTGCTGTGTCAGGAGACCCCTGAGCCACAGCATGGCTAATCCACAAAATAGATAATGAAGCTAGAAATACCTGAGAGTCAAGTGTGGCAGTAAACAGCTTTAAAATAGAACAGGCTGGGATGAGCTTCAGCGCAGTTTTTGTACTTTGTTGAGCAATCTGTTTGTTAGAATGAGAAGAGAAAGATGCATGACCCTTCTGCAGAGCAATGTCAAGCAGTGGTATTTCAAAGCCAAGTCAGATCACTTTTTAAGCATCTTTCATCTTCCTTTGTATTATCCATCTGCTCTGGCTCCTTCTTCGATCAAAGTAACACAAAAACCAGACCCTTGAATAATGGGCAGTACCTCTGGCAGCAAATAACCTAAAGTCTGTATTTTCCCGTGTTGTTTGATTCTGATTAAGCACAGAATAAGCAACTCCTGATTTTGGCATGTTAGCTGATGGAAGAAGTGCTTCCTTCTTCCACCTTTTCCATTGATCTTGCAGTGTGTCATTACGAGCTTGTTGTCTTAGCCTTTTTTCCATTTTCAAGCTATTAATCAGCCTCACTGATAGGAATATCCAGAAACAGGACAATCACAACAGTGATTGTGATTGCCTAATACAACACATAAGTAGAAGCAAAACATCGCTCTTACTGCTGCATTTAAAAAAGGGCATTTAAGTGAATTCTTCTATTATCTGTCTCCCATCAAGTGCATCTGTGTGATTAAATGTGAGTGTGGGGTTTAAACTTTTCATGAAGATTCGAAGAATCCCAGCTGTGTGTGAAGTCTAAAGCCTTCCTATGACTTGCCTATAATTTTTCAGTGCAGAAATAGCGTTGCTCAGTTTTGGCTGACCTCTTTAGCTCCAGCTCTACCAGACTTGTAGAATGAGAAATGTTCCCCTTTCAGCATCTCAGCAGGA